CTTTTATCCTTACTGGCATTTTTTAAGTGTTCATTACTTTTATGTTTTAAGTAGTTTTAAAACCAGTACTTTAATACTTTTACATGAGTGAAAAGCTTGAGTTGACACTTCTACTTCCAAAAAAGTTTTTGAAACCCTAGTATCTATACTTCTACTTAAGTAATGAATGTGAATACTTTTTGACACCTCTGGATTTAATAATATAATTTAACAATAACATCTTAATATAATTAACAATATCTACAAAATTTTAAAACAACCCCTTACACCTGCTGCTTATTTGTATTTTTGTTGACACCTCTGGGCCACCGTAGATGCTGCTACACCTGAAAGTCCCTGTGTGGGACAAGAAAGTCTGTTTCTATTCTATTCTATTTCAAAGTGTTTAATAAAACAAGTGGGGTTCAAGAAGAGTTTTAAAAACATGTTGAAGAAGCAAGTCTGATTTAGATTTAGGCTTTAGTGACTTCATGTCAGATTCAGTCTGTTGAACTATGAGCTGAGCTCTTTTATCAAAGTCTTGATTTTTTTCTCTGCTCGTTCCTTGGTTTGGTTCTGATGGGGTCACGATCAGTTTTGACACAACAAGACTACTTTTGTATCTCTGATTTAGAATTACAATCACCGGCCACTTTATTAGATACACCTGTCCAACTGCTCGTTAACACTTAATTTCTAATTTAAATAAGTAGATTAGTAGTTGCATCAACATCCGCACAAATTGATTTGCATATAAAATTATATTAATTCAGTCTAATTCAAATACTTTTTCAATATTTATTGTCACGTAACAAAAAGATGAACAAGAAATTCTAAAGTCTGATGTTTTATGTTCTCTTACTGAGTAAAAGTATAATGAACGTGTCAAAATAAGAAACTAAATACATGACAGCTGTACATGTTGATTTGGTACATTTTTTCAAAACTTCATTTAAAACTTTTATACTTTGTTACATAATGGCATTAAACATTGCCACTTTTAATAAGTGTTGCATTTCTGAACATGTGAGGCACACTGGTTTAGTTCCAGTGGCAAGTATAAAGAAAAGTGACTCTGTCCATCCTGGATTAAATGCTCTATTTTCGCTGTCCTTTTTTTTAATGCCATTTTTTCTTTTTTTTTTTTTGTATTTTTGTTTTGTATTTGTGTCTGTTAACTCTCCAGTTTTTCTCCCCTTCTCCATCTCAACTAACAGTTTTCTCCATCTTTTCTCACCTGACTGTATATTTCCTTCTCTATTTCTGTTTTTCCCCTCTTCTCCATCCTTCCCTCTGTCTCCAACACTTGACCACTAAAGCCTGCAAAACCTGTGCATGTAACTGGTTTATGCTGCGTTCAGACCGAACACGTTTTGCGTGTCAAAAATGTGTCCAATGACTCAAGTTGGACTCTTGTGCACTTTGAGGTCAGACGCTCGTCAAAATCGCTCTATTCGCACATCAAGATGCACGTTGAGAGGAGCCTTCTTTGCTGGTCTCTGTACAATGACAGATGAAATAGAGAGAGTGGCATGGCTTTATTTACTGAGAGCCAGAGGACGTTGTCGTTGGGCACCTTGGATTCACCAGATAATTCAGAGGAGTTCTGAGTTTGAGTTTCACCGCTCCAGGAGCTGTGTGCTGATGAGTGTTGCATTCAGCGCTTTTTTTTTTTGTCCTGAGCACAGTTTGACTGGGTTGCTGACCCCCATCGATGCCCATATCTTCTGCCAGGACATCAACTACAGGTGCTTGATTTCAGCTGGAGAGCTCCTGTCTCAGTTTAGTGGGCATCATTCAGGAGATTATCCCATCAGAAAATGTGCCACTACGTCACACATGGCTAGATGTGGTTGACACTCCATTTCTAACTGCTAAATTTTAGATTTTCCCTCAAGTGTCCGCTTCTTTGGATGCACTATACGTGCATCCAACACTTCAAAACACACAGCAACACTTCTCAATGCCCCACCATAGACTTTGTATGTAAACCCGATGCCCCTGACACTCAAATCTCGTTAGATCTGAATGCAGCATTACATGTGCACATTTAAGTTTTACGTGGTGAGCTCTGTTTTGGCATTGGGTGACCCCTGATCTAAAGAATATTAATCACCTGCTGCCTCCAATAGCAGAATAGAGATGGTGTTTGTTTGTCTCTTGTGTTAGCAAAATATCTGATAAATAGCTAGTCTGAATGGGTTTTAAACTCAGAAAGTAAGCTTTGTAAACTTACAGAAAAGATTTTGTATCTGCTCATCCTGACACAACCATGAACTCAGATCTGCAGTCTCAGCATTATGAGACTGTGGATTTGACCACCAGTCCACCTCAGCCCTGAGGGGTTTTAGAGGTATGTACCACCCTGAACTGTCCGATCTTGTCTGATCTCAGAAGCTAAGCAGGGTTGGGTCTGGTTAATACTTGGACAGAAAACCACCAGGTGCTGTAAAACCAACATAGGAGTTATAATCACATTGTAACTCTAGCAGAGGAAAACTTTTCACCATATTAGGTCATAGGTTGCCTTCTATGAAGGATGGCAAAACAGAACGTTTTACTAAAACCTAAAGTCAGAATAGACTCCTGAATGAGCTGACTGTTAGCATTCAAACAGCTAACATAGCACCAAGTACAGATGTGGTAACAGGTCTAAATTGTGCAAAAAAAAAAAGAAGAAAGAAAGACATTGGATAGAATGCTGAATCAGCATTTACAGAATAAAATCCTTCATAGTACCATCAGAATGTCGATTACTGGGAGGTTTCTGTCTGTGTTCAACATTAATGTTGCTTCTCACCAAAATCAAAACATCAACATTTTTTTAAATATGGGTTCACTTACAGAACAGCTTATGAATGAACGATGACTGACAGTAAACTTTTAATGGAGGTATGTGTTGTTCAGTTAGTTTTCCATCAACAACATGAACAAACGGCCCTTTTACTGGATCTATTTTTCCTCTTTCAGAGCTATAGGCCAAACAAAGCTT